ATGTGAATGTATAGTAATAACATACCCCCCCTCATCCTAGAGACTTAACATGTCATAAAACTATATAATAACGTCAGAATGAATAGATGACCTCTATCCCACCCCTTTCCTTTCCCAATAAAACCTCCAAGCACCTCCTATTTGTCTTGAGACCTGGCCTTTTCGCCCCCCCCCCCTACGCCCGCCCCGCTTCTTCGCACCTCAACGCCGGTTCACGGCGCTGGATGTTTCCAAGTTTTTGGGAGACTTGCCATCTTGGAGACCTGAATAAAAATGGATGAAAGTCATGGCCCTGCGTGCTACAGTACGTACTAGAGGCGTTTTGGTTGGGAATGCAACGAAGCCTCCGTGTTTTTGTCTGACCTCCGTCTCGAGACGTGTCGGACCTCTCGTTGCTCGCTTCGAAGCCGGGCCCCGTCAGGACTCGCCTCCAGGACGGGTCGCAAGGCAGGACTGGCCTTAGGGTCTACAAAATCGAAGGCCAGATCGGTGGACCCACGACGGAACTCTGGGGGGCGGACGGGCCTTTTTGGGTGGCGGCTGGAAAGTGTTTGAGCGCAATAGAGCGCAATGAGATGGTGTTCTTTTTTGTTTTCCTCTTTTTAGGGACTAATACAAGTGGCCTCAGCCACTATCTCAAGGTCCTGAAGGTCCTGGAGTTGGGTCATGTCGTACCTGGAGTTGGGATCTGTCTTTTATAGAGCTGAAGTCTGTAGGCCATGTGGTCAAATGTGGCCATGTGGTCAAATCCGCGCCAGCCTCGCACCCACTCTTCCACAAACCAGTGGGGCGTTCTTGGACACCCGTGCTGGTGTATAGGCATGTGTACAAAGGTTTGTACTTTCTTGGGACAGGCCCTTGAGTCATATTTGCAACTCCGTGCCCGTGGTTGCTTTTTTCTTGGTCGGTACTTCAGCATAATTCCCTTTATTCAGGTCCACAACCGAAATGAACAGCTGTAAAAACACGTTCGGGCAGAAACGCCCGTGGCCCACCAATAAACGCTCGTATACATAGAACAAATCCGCAAACTCCTATTTTATGCTGTGACTCCAAAAAACTATGTTCACACCGCAGAAAAAAAGATATGAAAAAATCACCTGAGGAAAATATATAGATTCTGTATAGCAGTCTACCCAAAGGCGGTATATGAAGTCGACCATGTTTTGGCTCCAAAAGCAGGGCTCAGTGCTACAATCCCAGCCCGGTTCCACATACGCCGTACGCTCTCTGCCGCCCCACAACGCTCTGAGTTCCCCCAGCGAGTAGAAAGTCCAGCACCGCTTGGTGCACCACTGAGATGTCACCGCTGTCACCGCTGCCATCGCCGTCGGCCTACCGTGGTTTGGACACGAGGGACGGGCCGACAGGCTGGAGGTGTAATAGGGATTTGCGGCCCAGAGGCTCATGGACCCTCAAACTGCTACATGTTCGAGGTCCAAAACCCTGGCGCTATGAGGGTCCAATCAGCCTTTGGGGGCTGAAAAGGATCACCAACGAGTTCTGGTTCTTGAAGCTTTTGACTAGCTTTCAGAGCGAACTTGGCCAGACCGGCTTCGACAGTCAGGGATCCGATCTAAACCAATTGGTTTGCCGCTGAGAGCACACAACACTGGGGCAGCAATCCCTTTTTCTTCCCGTTAGTTGATCCATCTTGATCTCAATTCTTTTCAATTTTCAGAGGATCCAACATGTTGGTACAGTGATGTACCCATTGGCCATGATCCAAACAGGTGAATCATGCCGGTCCCAGGGTCCCTGACAGTCATTCATCCTGAAGCTGGCCAACCAGCTTTTCCCACCATTTCAGAACATCTCTTGAAAGGTCGACCCAAACAGCTCCACGTCCGGACAGCGTCCGCACAGACCGCACTTCTTCCACGCATGCACGTCCGTCCGCGCTGCTCGTCCTACGGTCCGTCTGCCGGGACCCGTGGAGCGCTGGTGACCCGTGGAGCGCCTGGGAGGAAGACGGAAGATCGGTGGAGCTGGACCATGGGGTCGATGGCTAAATTCGACACAGAACCAAAGGTTGAAGGACCCCAAAAAGCCTATAGAAGCCTATAGGTACCAAGGTCCAGGTCCTTTGTCATGACATGTCCGATTCGCCGCCGAAGGGGGGGGCCTGACTTTTTGTGGCCGTGGTTGAGACCTCCAAGTCAGTCGGATGGACGAGGTTGCCAGGTCAGTCGGGCATCATCATCTCCTGAGTGCAAAAAAGGAACATCGACTGTTCTGGCTAAGTGGGCTTCCAATCGACTGTTCCTTTCCGAGCTCCAGAGATCTAGATTACGTATATAGTCATACTCTTCCCGTTGAAACCGCATTTCACCGCTAATTATTACTTGCAATTGGTCTGTTGACTGATAGATATAGTAGGACTTCCTGCCAGCCCATGATGCATCACACAGGAGTCCAATTCAAATAGTAGATAAATGATAACAGTGTATGTTTGCGGAGTGGCTGAAATTATTTCTTCGATTCATGTTTCCCATGAGCCAGTCCAAATGATCAGATTCCCCTTGCATCCCCTTCCTTGATTCCCATTTATAAGTGGCAATACGTGCAAGCGTGTGCAGATTCACAATCCAGGCATTTCTTGAAGAGATGATGAGGTTGATAGGATATACCCATGGGTCTCACGGTTCATGCTAAATTACATGCCAGAAAATGTTGGAAACATAAAAACATACAAAGAGAAATCAACCCAAAGCCTATCTTGTTTCGTTAGTTCATGTTAGTTCCTAAAGACCAAAACAAACACAAACTGGAGATCGACATGCTGAACTCGACTCGACAAGACAATTCGGCGGGACCGCGGTGCGGACGGGACGAACTTCAAAACTGCTCCCACCGGGTTGGACCGTGATCGACGGTCAAGTCGTCGCATCAACCGACCGACGGGGTGTGCATTCAAATAGGAGACCTCCCAAACAACGACCCCTCTGGTATAATTAGGTGAAGTCTCGAATCGATCGTCGCACTGCGAAGGAAGTTCCTCCATGTTCCACCCGGACGCGATCCCAGGGCATGGAAGGGGAAATAGACCCAAATACCTTGGCGGGGCCAGGTGTCTCACTATTCAAATACACAGCCAAATGGATCTATTCCAACCGCAAACACGCGGCCCACAGTTGACACGCACGCCCTCGTTCGGAGTCTGGGTTGAGGCCCTGGAGCTCCTCGAGGGACAAGTGCCTGAGAGGTACGAGAAGCACTGCTTGCACGCCTTCCCTCTGCCTGGAAGGTTGAACCTTTCTTGGCCAACGGCGGTTTAAAGACATTGGTTGCTCCGTTTGGATTCCGACCAGCGACCGGCTTTCGAGAAAGCGTGCAGAGTGACGACACAAAAACAAGGGTCTGTGTCGCGACGACGGGTTCAGTCAAGTCACAGCGACCGGTTCAGTGTCCTGAAAAATGGGAGTTGACCGTCGAGTAAATATAAGATGGACATTCGATGTCAACAAGAATATACAAGAATGAACGTCACTGAGACCTGCAATGTTCGAGGGGGGCCCTCCTTTTCTCGTAAACTGCTGATGATGTCCAAACATACTGTTTGTTCCATCTCTTTCCCAGGCGGGCGATACCCCCTGGGGCTTTGTGGAATGAACGCTTTCTACTGGCCAAAACCCATCACCTCTTTAGACCCCTATACAATCTCATCTGTCAGACAAGTACAATCACCAACAACATTCAACATCATCAGCCCTTTCCTCCAAAAACCCAGCGAAAAACGGACGTCTGAGCCGTATACGTCGGCTGAGCCCGACCAGTGCCGCGACAGCCCTCTGAGGCACGGATGGGGAATGAAGCGACACTCCTCGATGCCATTCCAGCCCTTAGGATGCCTCGTTCCATGCGGATGACCACACGTCCAGCGTGAAAATGCGGTCTGGGGAAGGTTTGTGGGGTTCATGGCGTCGCATCGATTTATGGGTATAGTCTGTATAGTCTAAGTGTGTATAGTAAACATATCCAGGAGACTCTCTTTCTCGCCCCTAGCTGGGTTAGTTTTGGTCTATTTCCTGAACCTTTCAGGAGATCGTTCCCTTGGAGGTCTCCCTATTCTACCAGGTAAACTTTTGTTTGACATGATGACATTGTATGACGCTTCTGTGCTTTTGTCTTCATGATGATTCATGATGTGTGTTGCTTCATTATGCTTCATTCATGTTTGGTGGGTTGACTCAGACTCATCCACACCCATCGCAAGGGTGTCTTGCTTTTGTCGGTGTTTTGTGCCCATGTCGTGGCCAACCATGGCAGGGCACTGCTACAAATGGCGAGTGATTCTTGAAGTCGTCTGATTAGTGATGCTTGAAGACCTGATGGCCAGCGGATAGCCAGCGGATGGCCGACTAGCCGACTCACAGTTCAGCCAACGAATGGCCGCCTTTTGCTTTTGTGAAGGACGTCCTATTGGAAAAACATAGAAAAACATAGAAAAACCGACCAATGGTCGGGTGTGAACTCTACTGCCGGCCCGACCATGCATTTCTCCGCTGGCACCGAACGATCCGGTTGGTGTGGTGACGGCTCGGACGACGACTCTTTAAGTAGGCTAGGCACCACTAGCCGAATCGGGGGTTCGGTCATACCGAACCAGGTTGGTTCGGGGGTTCGGTGGATCCATGATCCATAGGGCCCATAGGGCTGGAGGAGTAACTCAAAGTGCACCTACATGATGGTCCCTTATTTTCAATCATGCTTCTGCTTCTGCTTCTGCTTGGTTCGTTGGACGAAATCCCGTTGGACGCTTTCAGCTTTGCAATCCTGGTATACGAAAGGCTCGGTCAATATACAAACCATGACCCAAACACTCCATGGGACTGCCATATATGCCGATCAGTTGGGGGGTTTGGGGGTCAATGTAAGCATATATGGCATACATGGAGTGTCTGGGTTGCCCATCAACCCACTAGTTCTCGTAAGAAGCGTCACCAACCGCTTCTTTTCTCCGGCTCCCATCTCATCTTCCCACGGCGACCAGGCGAATCCAGGCGACCATTCACCACCCAGAACGAGGTTCTCAACCGCCACAATGCCACCCTTACCTTGGTCGTCAGGCACTATGGCACGTATGGCAAGGGCGAAGTTCCAGGAACCGCAGGCTCCCTCCATCTCCCTCGCACCAGCTATAGGCTATAGGCACTATGGCACTCAAAAGTCAACATACGCAGCTCTATTTGAGTTTACAACGGTTTCAGGACTACTCTCGCATCGGACGCTCAGTGAGCAGAACCTGCAGTTCGTCCCACCTCTGTGTGCCACACGAACTGCACAGTGAAGAATCTCCACATAAGAGGCAACTGTATCACATGACACAGTTGCCTCGTATTGGGGAGATCCCCAGGTCCTCTTATGGGGAGACACTGTAACATTAAATCTGCATCATGCCTCTGTATGACACTGTTGTATCCTGTATCCCAGTCTGAAACATTGCAGGAACATTGCAGGTAAATGGTTTTAATACTTAATTTGGAGACTCCCAGCCATTCCGGGAAGACTGGTCGATGTTCTTCTTGCAGGGACACTCGGAACGCCTGGGAGGTGTCCCTATAAATCAATACAATATGTTGTCGACGAAGGGTCGTGAACCATCAAAAGACATGTCGCACGCCAGCTAGAGGCATCGATTTCACACGTGCGGTCAGGCTCAAAGCGGATCCACTAAATGCGACGGGGGCATACACTCTTTAGTGACATGCTCAAAAGGCTCAACATCAGCTCATGAAACATGGGAAAAACCCCATGAGCTTTTGAGCATCAGTTCCTTTCAGGAAAGTTCAAACCAAAATGGTTTTCCTGCCACACTTCAAGATCTTCATGATCGTGTGGTTTCAAAGCAAAAAGGGTCTTTGCCTCTTGTTGGAGCTTCTCTCTTCTCAAACGTTGTGCTTTCCGGGCGCTCACAAATTCATGGTTAAAGCGAACCACCCAAGTCTTGTTCGTGTTGAACAAAGCCATCACCTTGTAGCTTTCGTATGTGGCCTTGGTAAGGCTGTCGGCCAGGTTCAAATCACTTGGAACCCATGTCGGGTGGCAGTTGCTGTCATCGGAGGTTCCCCTCTGAACGTGGAGCATTTCCACTCCTGTGCGAGCATTGTTCATGCCGAGCATCACTGAGTCGTTCATGGTCAGGGAGTCGAAGCAACCCCTGCTGTCCATGATGAGAAGGCTTTCAGTTTTGCTGGCAAGTAGGTCAGCATTTCGGCGGTTAAGGTTCTCGCCGTTGAGAAGTGCCCAGAACAAACGAAGGCGCCATCCACGATCTTCTCCTTCGTAGATCGCTTGGCCCTCTGCTCCATTGGAACCTTTGGACGGGCGGTCCAATTTCCAGCTTCGCCAGTCGATGCAGGGATGGACCCCCTAGTTATAACTTAGTTACTGAACTTGAAAAAGATATAAATAAGTTATACCGAAGTTAGTAAAATGTCGTAGTCATGAGTTTATATTTATTTTGTAAGTAAGTTATAAGTTCCGTAACTTCAAAATGCTAATTTTTTGATTCAATTTTGATCACTGCTACCATTGATTCACCAATTTCTTTATAATTGAAGTTTTGTTGTTTTTGGTGTTAAAACAAGCTTGAAACCAATGAATTTTTAACCAACAAAGTAGTTCAATCAAAAAATGTGCGGACCACCGCCAAACAAAACTAACAAGAACAAGTAGTTCAACCGCAAAACGCGCGGACCACCGCCAAACAAAACTCAGAAATTGTTCGGACCACCGCGAAAAATGTGATTCCTTAGCTGGCACAATCTGAGTTAAAGGCTGGGCTTCGGCTTCAACCATGTCAAGGTGGGAGGGCTTTATCAAAATCTTAGATTTTGAATTTGGAAAACGTCAACTGGCGTACATTGGCCAAAGATTGTTTGACAAATGTTGTGACATCAAGGAGAACACAAACACATTTAATCACACACATCTTCGAAAAACAGATACATACATGTGAGAATAAAAACTAATGTGTCCGTATTCATCTGTATGTGTCTGTGTGCACTTGGGTACTTTTCTATGCAACTGCGCGCATACCTCTGCATACACCTGCTTACCTCGGCATACCTCTGTGTACCTCTGCCCATACCTCTGTATACCTCTGTGTACCCCTGCCTAGGGCAGAGGTAAACAGAGGTATACAGAGGTATGGGCAGAGGTAAACAGAGGTAAACAGAGGTACACACCTCTGTATACCTCTGTTTACCTCTGCCCATACCTCTGTATACCTCTGTATACCTCTGCCCTAGGCAGGGGTACACAGAGGTATACAGAGGTATGTGCCTCTGCATACCTCTGTTTACCTCTGTGTACATCTGTCTCTTCAGCTTTTTACCATGTGTCTAAGTCCTGGTTTCCAGGAATAATCAAAAACATGGTATCAAGAAACAAACAAAGGTATCCTGCCAGCCAGGATCACTCCCAACCACCGCCATGCAAGTTGTTTAAAATCATTTTGTCCTGGCAGCCAGGACTTTAACTAGCAGGCTACCATCCTGGCAGCCAGGACACCCTTTATAACCACATATGTACATTGCATCAGTGACATTCGAGAACAAATACTCATTTGTTTGCAAAAGCTTAAAGACGGCTTATAAGTAATTGGTTGCAACGGTCAAATTACAACTAGTACAAACAATGCCGAAGTCAGAGTGCGGACCAACAGAAAATCCAACAGAAATCTGGCCAACAGAAAACATCAAAGATGTAGATAGCGTAAAAAATGAATTAAAATAAGTCAAGAAAACAGGTACCTCAAAAAGAACAATGTATTCTATCAACGTCAGCAAGGGAACCAAAAAAAAACATTGAAAAAACATACCAAAATGCTAACTTCCGTAACTTCAAACTAACTTCAGGAGCAGATCTTTAAAAAAGAACTTGTAAGTAAGTTATAATTACAGTAAAACATATATGTAAGTTATAATTTGAAAACGAACTTAGTATACTTAAGCCAATTTATAACGGTGTTACCGTGACTTATAACCTAACTTGCCCCAAGTTATAACTTGGTATAACTAAGGGGTCCATCCCTGTGAGGCTCATCTTGGCTTCTGATCCTGTCAGGACGATGGGGTCGGAGAGACATGAGACGTGTCCTCCTGTAGAGCCGCCTCCAGGCCGGTTGTTCAGGCCTGCGTCTGCAAAGTGAACTGCAATCAGCTGGTTCCACTGAAGCTTGTCCGTTCGGTGAGCATTGAAGGAATGTAGGACGAGGTCTTCCTTCGCTGACTTTCGAAGTTCTCGGACTATTGAATTGGCCTCTTTCAGTTCTCGAAGTGTAGGATCCTTCAGGGCTGAGGTCAACAAACCAATCCTTGCACAGAATTGGGGCGCAGTTTGGATCGCCCTCCATTGTGCTTTCATCGCTAGGCCTCTGGCCTGAGAAACTTCTGAAGGACTGAGCGAGTCGGTCAGCTTTCTCTGGTGCTCATTTGCTATGGTCACCGGACGAAGGGCGTTGCAGAAGGTCTCTTGAGTCATGTAGATGGTGTAGTCCTTGGTTTGCTTCAACTCAATTCCGGCAAAAGTGAATGTGCCGGCTTGCCAAGGGGACCAATTGTAGAGGTTCTTGAAGAGTTGGCGGTATCTCTGCCAATCTTTGTCGTCCTCCTTGCCAGTGATGATGAAGTCATCAACGTGTGAAGCTATTCTTCCACACACCTGATTGGAAGAGTTCTTGAACGTCCATATGCACTTGTCCAGCGAATGTGGGATGCCACCGATCTTCTGAATCTTGCGATCGCTATCCTTCCAGAAGATTCTTGGTGCGTTTGTCAAACCATATACGGCACCAACCACTTGCATTGCTTGGCCAGGTGAAATATGGAGTGCATGACTGATTTCAGGAACTCCATAGGTGTAGAGAGGCTTTGTGCCAATGCCTTCATCCGCTTGCAGAAATGCCGATTTTGCATCAGCTGACTCCAGTAGGTGTTGATCCAGAGCAGCGGCTTGTAGCACAAGTTGTCTGCCAAGCCTGGACAAGGTTGGAGATGCTGTGCGAAGCTGTGGACGACCTGTTCGTTCATCTCGACGTGCAAGGTCTGGATGTTTGTAGCCAATCAAAACCACTCTGGCCTTGGCTTTGGCCATTCCATCTTCTCTCAGCACAGTTGGTGCGCCGTCTGTTGGTGGCTTTTCCGGTGTGGACAGTGGTTTCCAAATCAAGATCCATCTCATTGG